GGGGGGTGTGGGTTGCCTCCCACTCTCTGCCATTGTGCGGCCACTGGCTGAGGATCTGTGGCTGCTGGCATGCCTGGCTCTTGCACATGCCCATTGGCCAGACTGTACCCTTTTAAAGGTCCCGGGGCTGGGGGAGAGGAGAGGAGTTTTCCTGGTTGTGCCCAGAGTGGCCACCAGGGGAAACTGGGAAGGGCTGGAGGCCCCCAATTCGAAATAAGTGTCTACACAGCACTTATTTCAAATTAGCTATTTCGAATTTGATGTTATTCCTCGTAGAATGAGGTTTACCAAATTTGAAATAAGTGCTCCACTATTTCGAATTTATTTCAAAATAGTGGTTTGTACGTGTAGACGCTATTGTAGTTAATTTGAAATAACAGCTGTTATTTCAAATTAACTTTGTAGTGTAGACATACCCTAAGCTCTTTGTTCGGCAGCCTCCTGTAAGGGGAGCTTGCAAGCTAAGGTGTCAGGTGCAGCTGGGATGGTTCCACACGGACAGGCTGGCCTGACAGCCATCGTGGCTACAGCCGTTCCAAGCTGGTCAGGTCTTGGGACCAGGGTCAGCCCTGGGATGAAAGGCATCAGCAGAGTAGTGCTGCTTGCGTAAGGGGGCAGCCTTTTTCTGGACTCAGTCCACTCTTTGGGTATGTCTACACTACAAAGTTAATTCAAACTAACAGCTGTTAGTTCGAATTAACTTTCATAGCGGCGATACATGCAAACTGCTATTTCGTGGAATGAGGAGTAATGGTAGTTTGAATTAGGATCTCTACTTCAAACTACCTACTCCGTGCTGTGTATAGCCGCCGGCACGGAGTTTGGACTAAGGGGGATTTAAAAATGGCAGCGCCCGGGAAGATGCAAATGAAGCCTGGGATATTTAAATCCGTGGGTCCTCCCCCCAAACCTCAATGAGGACCAGCTAGTGTAGCCATACCCTAAGAGAGCGCTGCTCTGCCTGGCCTTGCTACTCCCTCTCCTCCCCCTTATACTGGGGCAGTGGAGGTGTGACTGGGGCAGGAAGCATCTCTGCTGGCTCTGAGAGCTCTCTGTCTCGCACAACAGTGCATGACCCAGCTCTGAATTTGGCCCAGGGTCCATAAGGTGCTTTGGGAGCCTGTGAGGTGACGTGGGCAGTTGATGTGTCGATGTGCAGAATCACTGTCCAGCATTTCACTATTAAATAATATGGCACAGATTTGGGGACATTTGCCGTGGAGCCTTGGCCTGGAACAAATGCAGAACTGCATCTCCCCCTGCGTGGGGAGAAACCGGGGCCAGCAAAGCATGTGGCTCCCCGATAGGATAGCCATGGTGGTGGAACTCTCAGGGCATGCGTCACTCACTGTAATCTTGCTCTCTCTGCAGCTGGCTGGAAGGCTTTGGGGGTGAATCTGTGAGTCAGGCCATCTTGACTGTGGCGTAACCCTGCTGAAATCAGTGACGGGATCCCAGTGTAAAACAGAAGGGCTCCCGTGGGGAATCAGGTCTATTGTTTAGTCAAAATGAGGCCTGATTCTGATCTCAGCCAGGTGCCATTCAGGGATAATTCTACTGACGCTAGGTGTGAGTGACATGGGAGGGCCCAGGCTCCGTGGTTCGTGCTGGCATTGGCTCAGTTCCTTTTCTCTCACAATGTGTGTCACTACTCACTGGTGAGGGGGCAGTCAACTCTCTAGCGTCTTTGTGTTTCCAGAGAGGAATGGTGTGGAAAAGATGCTAATAAAACTGGGCTCATGCTGCTTTGACATGTTGCAACGAGCCCATTTTCCATGTGCTAAGTCTTGTTGCAGGTGTTTCCAAAGTGCTGCGTCTCTTACCTCAGGCATGACTGGCTGCCGGGGAGCACAGTGCCGTGTCAGATAACCCTGTCTTCTCGAGGGATGTTCAATGTAGATTAACAATTTGCATCCACTATTTGATTAGTCGATAAGGGCGCCTCTGCCTTTGAAGTGTAGCAAGAGCCCCAGGGCTGTTGCTACACTTCAGAGGTGAAAGTGCTGTGGGGAGCATGGGGCCGGGGGGAGGAGGGGACTCAAGCAGTCTTTCAAAGGCGAAAGTGCTGCGGGGAGCACGGGGCCAGGGGGGGGACTCAAGCAGTCCTCCGCTGATCCCGTGCTCCCCCGGCATTTCAAAGCGGCAGCGCCGCATGGAGCCTGATGTCAGCTGGGGATTCTGTCTCTGAGCTCCATGTGGCGCTGCTGCTTTGTAATGCATGGGGAGTGTGGGGAGCCCAGCATCAGGCTCCTCACGGTGTTTCAAAGCAGCAGCGCCACATGGAGTCCGGAACTCCCAGCTGGCCCCGGGCTGCATGCAGCGTTTCAAAGAGGCAGTACCGCGTGGAGCCCAGGGTCTGGCCCTCGGGTTCTACAAGGAGCTGCCGCCACTGCTTTGAACCACCCCCTCCTCTGAGGAGCGGAGAGGTGGGGGGGGGGGGAAGGGAGCGATTAGTCAACTATTGTTCCCATCCCTAGTCTCCTCACCGTGGGGTGGAGGCATAAAAGTGAGATTCCAAAGTGCAGAAGAAAGGGCATTGCTAAGGCTCCTCAGTTCAGGACTGAAGAAAGAGGGCACAGGACAAATATTAGTTTGGATTTCAGCAACTACAATTTAAATTATAAAATGAGAGGTGGGCGAATCAAATGGTGTAAGAGTTCCTGGTCCTGAACTGAATGGCATTGAAGCTGCAGGTCGCTCAGCCTCCCTCTGTGTCTCTTCTACAAACAATTCACAGTGGAAATGCTACACATCGCAGTGGTATAATTATAACGATGGGTTTCTGAAAGCCTGCAAGTAGTCCGGGGAATGATAATAGGGGGGTAGAACAGACGTGGTACGTCAGCGGTGAGCGTTTGTTGGATGCCAAACCAAGTTTGGCAGAATTGCTGCTGCGGCTGTGCTCGCCGGAAGCTCCCAGCGCCACAATTTAAACACAAGCCTGTTGCCTGCCACTCCGCTCCGCTTCCAACACCTGGTATCGCCCACACACAACAGCATGTAGTGGCCCAGGCTACCCCAGGGAGAGTTCCGCTGGCTGTGAGCGGGTGTGAAAGGCTGGAGGCCGTACACAGGCTGTGGCTCTTCAGAGCCCTCTGAGCATCGAGACAGAGTCACACACACATTTTAGGGTTTGTTTGATTTTGGTTTTTTGTTTTTGCAATGTGAAAAATCACCAATCCCCACGCAGTAAGTGTGACCGCTCTCACGCCCGAGAACTGCTCATAGTGGCAGGGGCTTTGGTAGTGCTGGGCTTCCAAAGAACATGACACGTTCCTTTTCCTTGCTTCACAGAGCATAGGACACCGGAGACCCTGGGGTAGGGTAGTTACCTTCTCAGAGGCCAGACTGAACACTGATTGTGGGGATTACAGGGGTTTGCTGTGAGGTCAGGCAGCCAGTCTGACTAGCAACACGAGCTTCCCTGGGTGAAATCTGGACAGCAGGCAAAAGTTGACCAGCTGACCCGCTGCAAATGC